TGTCTGTGACATGCCTTCTTTTTAGGAGAAAATGGCCTGCTACATTAAAATGTTCTGTGTTTTTTTATGGGCATGTGGATTGTTTTAATTCCATATATTCTAGGACAAATTGATGGATGTTCATAAATATTGTATATGGCACACTAGAATTTTGGAAGAAAAAAAAGACAAAGAGATGCCCTCAAGGATGTTACAGTTAAATTGAGAGAACTGGGGGAAAGAGGATGAGAGACAAGAGCAGGAAGTGATGAATGAGCAAATGCGGTTCTGTGTATTTTACATTACTTATTGTTTGGCTAAGGATTAAAGGGCCAAACAGTCATGAAAGTCTAGCTGCTTGTATTTGATCGTGGGCAAGCCTATCAAATGAACAACATTGCTTGAAGGTTGCTCAAAGGGTCAAACTAAATGACTGCCATTGTAACAACATGTGCTTAGATATGGATACCTGATTAAAGGACATGAGCAAATGTGAAATAGTTCATGAGTGTTTCCAAATTCTTGCCTGCCTAAGCTTTTGTTGACATCATAGCTTAGTGGAAGTAATGACACAGTGAACTGATCAGAACTATCTTGAGGTCATATTTGTGGCTGAGGCCATTCAGCGGTCACTAAAGAATAGTAGACATATGTTTTAAAAATGATGTCAGGGCTTTGGTCCCATTGATCCTGTGCATAGTGGATAGTGTGTATGGGTGTCTCTGAGATGTTAGCACAAGTTTCTTGTCCCTGCGGCATTTATTAGAGGTACCCACAGCTTAGTGGCTTTTAAAAAGTCTCCAGGAAGCATTCAGTTCCTCCTGAAAACACTTACCTGCTTGCTCTTCTCCTTTCAAACCTTAGTGTACAGGCTGGCCACATTATTACCATGTTTCCCTGAAAATAAGATAGGGTCTTATATTAATATTTGCTCCAAAAAACACATTAGGGCTTATTCTCAGGGGATGTTTTTTCCCCATGTACAACAATCTACACTTATTCAAATACAGTCATGTCATCTTCTTCTGGTTGCTGCACAATGGTGGAGGGCGGGGTTTCACTTAATTGGGGCTTATTTTGGGGGTAGGGCTTATATTATGAGCATCTTGAAAAATCATACTAGGGCTTATTTTCAGAGAAACAAGGTATGTGCCCGATAAAGTTTGGGTTAGCCAGTCATGGAGTTAAATTGTGTTGGAGGAAAGATCAGATTTCATTTTATTTATGTATTTATTTATTGCATTTATACCCCACCTATCTAGTCGAACGACCACTCTTTCCTGTGATGCTATTTTGCATGATGTCTTATGCGTGTAATACCAGCATGATTTTACCTCTTTCCTGTCTATTTTCCTGTGTTGTTTTGTGCAACAGTGATGGTTTTGTGTGGATGAAACTCACGGTTAGTATGCAGTGAGTGAGGATGCTGTGTAAAGTTTAGTCTGCCTGCATAATTTGCATGGACAGACCCAAAAAGCTTCAGATACATTTTAAAGACACTGGATAATGCAAATGCGGCTTTTGTCTCACTGATTAACAGGTTAGATATTAATCTTTTGAAACTCATCTTGAGACATTCAAATTCTTTGTGACTTGACAGAGATAATTGCAATTGAAAGGGCAGTTGTGAAACTACTTGTTACGATATCAGGCGAAAACAAAAGAAAAATAAAAAAGACAAAAATGTTGTGGCATCTTAAAAACAAACTGTTTTATTTTAATGTAAGCCTTATGGGACTACTTTCCATTTGTCTTTTGTCATTTTTTAATTTTTTGTGTTTGCCTGATATGCTTGCGTAGACAAACAGAGCTGCCTCTTTTAAAGCTACTTGTTGAAAGTAAAACATGTACTAAATGCTCAATTGGATTTGATTGCATTATGTTACCTTTTCTGTTTTGAATATATGGGTGTGTTTGCCATGGGGTTGTCTACTTATTATTGTTTGTTTTAAATGCATGAACACTAGAACTTGTTTATTCATATACAGCCAAAGCCCTGATCTTCTACAGCACTGGTTCTTAACCTTGAGTTACTCAGGAGTTTCGGACTGCAACTCCCAGAAGCCTTCACCACCAGCTGTGCTGACTGGGGTTTCTGGGAGTTGCAGTTCAAAAGCATCTGAGTAACAAAGGTTAAGAACCACTGTTCTACAGCATATCTGCCAAAGACCACACATGTGAAGCAGGAAAGAAGCAGAAATAGTATGATACAGTATGATAGCCTCAGTTTAGTTATTTTTAGTCTCCCTTGAAGCACAGATGACTACACTTAGACTGTCATATTTTGGAGATATCTTGAGAAGACAAGGCTCATTAGAAAATATAGTAATTTTGGCAAAAGTTGGAGGCAACAGAAAAAGAGGAGGTCAAAATAGGAAATGGGTTAACTCAATCAACCACAGACTTAAGTTTGCAAGAACTGGGCAGGGCTATTGATAATAAGACTTTTAGGAGATCAGCAGTTCATAAGGTCATCATAAGATGGAAACAACCTGATGGAACATAACAACAGCAACAAAGCATACATACATAGCAAGGATTTTGAACTCTGAGGAGTTACTTACTGTTTCCCAGTATGACTCAGTATTACTGTAGTAATATGACTTTAGATACTAATATTCAGTACTTATTTGACTGAAAACCTTATACTACTCTCAGTATTTAAAAAGAAATAAATTCCTGGATTGAAAGTAGGTTTCATGAGTTGCAAGTCTTTTTTTAGCCAGTAGAAGTTAAAATTTGGATAATACAATGTAGAAGTATGCTGTCTGCAAAAGTTACAGCAGAGCAATTGTGTAGTAGAAAAATAGAATTGTAGAACTGGGAGGGATATGAAGTCCAACCTCCTAAACAGGAGGAAATCCACAACTGACAGACAACTGTCCAACCTGTATTTGAGAACTTTCAGAGCACTATCTTCCAAGATATTCCCCTGCAATTACTGAACAGCTCTTACTCTCAAAATGTGACACTTACGAAATGGCATGATACAGTCAGAAAGAGACATGATAATTATTGTAGCCTAAATCCAACCTAGTAATGCTTCTGAGTAGCCATTCCTCAGCAAAATCTTGGTTTTCAAATGCTGTGGCATACAGTAGAAATGTTCCTTTAAACCAGGAGAACACAATCTAGTGTGCTCCAGCTGTTTAAGATTACAGCTCCCATAAATCTCAAGCAACATGCTGTGTTTCAAGAATGAGGGAGCTGTTGTCCAGCTCTGCATGGTACTGTGTTGCCTTCCCCATATTCAACATCATTCAGGAAGTTAAGGAATCACATGGTGTGGTTGATGTTTAGGAGTGTGTGGTACAAGCAAGCTGTGGAATGACTGCCACGTGCTTCTCATTCTGGTAACAACTACTCTGGCTTTTGACCTTCCTAGTCTTTTCAGGGGAAAGGTTGCTTATAATCATGACTAGAGGATTGAAGGTCTGCTAATGTTAGTATCTAACAAATAAAGCAGCAGAACATTGCACAATACTTGAGGGTGGAGGGAGACAGCAATTTTTCTAAGCAGTTTCTGGCTTTCAAACTGCATACAACATTCTTCTGATTCTGCAGTTTTTCTGCCATTAAGATCAGAAATAGTTTTGCTTTTTTAATTTCCCAATCACATGTCAACCATAGCTCTTTGGATTAAGTATCTCCATAACAGTATGATAAATATCAGCTTTCATGGAGCAAATTGTTGGCAATACAGAACTAGACTTTTGGATGGAAAACAGTGCCACAGCCCAGCAGGTGACAAAACTCTGACGTTGTAGTCTATTGTTTGATGAACACCAGTAAGCTGTCTTCTGATTTCATGCATTTTGGGTTTTGTAAATATATATGTTGTTGTAGTATATAAAGCATCTTTTTAAAAACAGTGCTGACTTTAAGAGGTTTGCATATGTAACCATGAAGATTATCAGTCTCTTGTGCTCAGCAATCAGGAGCAGAAGACAATATTTAAAGAGCCACAACTGGAGGAGCAGTCATGAACTTCACAGGAGTATCTGAAACTACCCCTTTCTAGACTTTGGTTAGCTGCTAGGGAGATTGCTAATTCATGTGCTAATTATCTCTTGTAAATATAATTGCTGTATACTTGTGGGATGACTGAACTGCTACTTTTTAGCCTTCAGGAGAATATCCAGTCTGCAAAATACTTAAGAATTGTAATTTTCCAAAATGGGGGCAACTTTCATAGATTATTTACAATGCAATTTTTGCTTTCATTCACAGTTTATCTGTATAACTCTGCCTATGCCAATCAGATCTGTTTCTTAACTACCAGATTTCACACCTAAATAAAGGGTTTCCAATGGAATCAAAAGAAGCAGAAGTTGATCCACAGAAGCTTACTGAAACAATTTTTATTCCTTAAAGTGCTAGAGTATTCTGGTTTTTTTTCTTTTTCTTCTTTTGGCAATATGCTGAGGTAAACTAACACAGCTAATTCTTGGAAGGAAGAGCCTAGTCTCTGTCCTTAAAGGTAGTAGTTCTTGTTGGAATCTGCACACAGGGTGTTTGGGAGTGGCCTTTTGGAGAGCAGGCTGCTGAGGGAAGGGCAGTATCAGAAGGTCAAGGGAGTTTCAGTGATCATATAGGAGAAAATGAATCTTCCATATATGGATGTTTTGAAGGACTTTGGTAATGTGGGGCAGAATAAATGATGGTAGAGTAACAAGTTGCAGAGGATGGCTTAGGATTTTTGTGTCTGTATGCTTTCTAAATATTTTGAAGAACTGTGATTTGGAAGTAATTGAATGCAAACCACTGTAGATATCCTGCTTTTTTGTAATTACATGATAAGCTGACTATAGTGACATTGGAATATTGCAGTATGGGCTCTGTGTTATTGGTAGACTCCTGGATTCATAGGTGAATAGAGGAAAAAATAAAGTATATTTACAGCTGGTTTGAATCCTGAGTATTCTTGAAAATATATGTGTTGTGCACTTATATGTATTTGTATATGTGTCTCTGTTGAGTATTGGCAATATAATACCTGTTGTTCTTGACTTCCCTTTCAGCAGTTATGTTGTTGCCTGTGCTCACCTTGATCACTGGAGACCTGAGAACATAGCTGAAGCTGCTACTTCGTATGCAAAGGCTGAGGGAGCAGACCTTGAACCTTGAGGTGGGTCGTTAAGTCTAAGATGTCCTTGAGCAGTGGAGCTTCCGGAGGGAAAGGAGTGGATGCAAACCCAGTTGAGACGTATGATAGTGGGGATGAATGGGACATTGGAGTAGGGAATCTCATCATTGACCTGGACGCGGATTTGGAAAAGGACCAACAGAAATTGGAAATGTCAGGCTCCAAGGAAGTGGGGCTACCTGCACCCAATGCTGTGGCGACACTGCCAGAGAACATCAAGTTTGTGACTCCAGTGCCAGGTCCACAAAGCAAGGAAGGCAAATCCAAATCCAAACGGAATAAGAGTAGCAAGGACAGTGGCAAGGCTGCCCCAGGATCTGCTTTGTTCACTCCAAGTGAAGGGACCAGTGGCAAGAAGGAGATTCAGGGGCGCCCTGGAGATGGCATGAACACTGGTGGCTTGGTAGCTGCCATTGCCCCGAAGGGCTCTGAGAAATCAGCCAAGGCTTCTCGTAGCGTGGCCAACTCAAAGAAGGAGAAAGAGGGAAGTTCGTCCAAGAATAAGAAGGAAAGGAGTGAAGGTGCAGGTGCTGCACCAGAAAAAGAACCCAGTGTACTTCAGCCTCTTGCTTTGGCTGTCAGGGTTGGGCAGTATGATGGCGGCCAAGGATCAGAGCCTGCTGTGGCGGTTGCAGCTGCTGAGCAGCTTGGAAGTATAGCTATTGACACGGGATCTGCACTTAATCCTTTGGGAGTTAAATCGGAGCTGGAAGATGGTGACAGTGAATGTCGACAGCTCAAAAAGGTCAAATCGGAGAAGGTAAGATGTACACTTCTAGTTGGGTATGGTTGAGTGCTACCGTTGCTTGCTTTTTAAATGGTGTCAACAATCTTGTCCTTTGTAATATGGAAATTTCTTGTAACCTCTTTGCCCTATTTATTTGCTTGGAGTAGAACATTTTGGTTATTGACTTCTGTTGTGTCTGTTATGGCAGTCGTTTAGAAGCTTGTGCACTGGGTAATTTGATACATTATTTTTGTCACTACATCCCTTCAGTACACCTGTGATGTGCCAGTTGTTTGTGGTGAGATACTTACAGTAATGTGCACAGAGTAAGAGAAGGAAGGAACAGAATTCTGAGTAGTGAACAAGGTTTCAGTATTTCCTTGCTCCTTTTAGTTTTCTGATCTAGGAAATGCTTATGCTTAGTGGCTTTCAGTGGTTCAGATCTGTATGGCTAGTAATGCTGTCCAGCCTAATTGCATACCCACTTCTGCCTGACGCCTGGAAGTAGCAAAAGCTTGTGCATTTGCTCACTGTCTTATTTACAAGACCTTATTGGTTCATGCCAAGCAACGATTTTTAATGCTATGCACAAATAGAAATGAGAATACTGATGTGAGAGACAAGTATGTGTAACATACCTTTGTGCAAAAAGAATGAAAACATCTGGTTTACAGTGAGCAGTTCAGCAGGATTTGCACTCATTTTCATGCTCTAAAGGAGCCACCCCCAACTGCTGTTCTCCAGATTGCTTCTATGGGGCTGATCCCTTGCTTATGCAAGTGTTCATTTTGTCTGAAGAACTGTCAAGGTTCATCACCTTCATATCATGGAATTTATGGCAAGAGCAGTTTGCAAAGAGAGGAGCAGAGATATATTCTGCTGCTTCTTCCAGCTGGGGACATACATTAAAAATATCAGTCAAAATTAGTTTAAAAGATACAGTTTTCATGTTATAAGGCTACCAGCTGTAATTTATAGGTTGGGCTCAGATGGTTGCAGCAAGTCCCTGCTTTGTCTCCTTTGGGTGTAAGAGGAAGGAGAATAAAAAATGCTTTTATTTTAAATTACATTATAGTTCCCTGTTACACACAAGTGTGCAGTTGTGGCTTTCCCTAAACAACATTGGTTGAAATAGACAAATATAAAACCATTCTGTTGATATGTGTAGGACAAAACAAATGTTTCATAAATTTTAAAAAGTCATGAACAAAATACAGAAACAGGCTGATAAAAATGATAGCCATTAAAGATGCTGAACTTCTGCACCTAAAAGTTGTACAACTCTGAAAAGTGTTCCTAGCTTGAAAATCTAGAGGCAGTTTTCTTGTCCATGTAGTCATCAAGCCAAATTAGTTCTTCAAGCAAAAGACAATCGCATGCTGCTGAGACTAGTCTTTCATGAGCTCAGTGGCATCCTGAAGTCTGATAATTCATGGCTTATGTGAACACAGTTTTCATGGTTCATGTGGACATCAAATTTGCTGCCAGATTAGATTTAATAATACAAACTGGCAAGCAAAAAGATACAGTTTGGGATCTTCCTTGCAAACTTCTGACCCAAAGGTTTTAATTTGATTTTGTTTTTTGCTATCTGGATTGTGAGAGTGACCTGACTTAGAAGGATGGAGGTGGAGCAGACATTAATGAAATCTGATGAAAGGAAGACCTGATGAAAATAAAAAACTGAATTATTATAGTGGCCAAAATCCTATTGGCTATTTATATCTTTTGGTTATTTATGGCAACATAAGTTTAGTATGTATTCTAAATTACAGCAGCGAAAAAGCACTAGTTAATGAATCACTTACAGTATTTCTTGTAAGGCAAACAATCTGATGTTAAAAAAGTGCTGATTCACTAAGAGGCAGCATTTTGCCATAGCACTTTGTACCACTGCACTTACACCAGCATAAATAGCTAATTGAATTTTGGCCAATTAATATTGTGGGTAACTAATGTTGTATAGCAGATAGAATGATGGATTAGGACTCATGAGGCCTGGGTTTGAATCCCTGCTCACCCATGGAAACTCACTAGGGGTGTGGAATTTTAAAAACTGCTCATTAAATATCTCACGTACCTTGAAAGCCCTTGTTGTTGTTCTGTATGGTCAAGTTGAAACCAACTGATAGTGACCCAGATAGGGTTTTCAAGGTAAGTGACATATTTAAGGAGTAGTTTTACCAATTCCACTTTCCCAGTGAGTTTCCATGGCCAAGTGGAGATTCGAACTCTGTTCTCCAGAGTCCTAGTCAGTCACTTTATCCACTATAGTACACTGGGAATCCTGAAATCCCTGTAAGGATTTCTATAAGTGGGTTTCAGTTTGACAGCACCTAAACAGTAGTATTAACTGTACCTTCATTTGCATTTCACTTAACAATTAGCAGATGTTTACATCTGTGTGAAACAGAAAACATAATAGTAGGGTTTGGGGGTATTGGTGAAAAGGTAAAAGATGAAAACCTTGGCAGAAGCACTGCTTGGTTAGGCAGAGCTGAGTTAAATGGGATCACTGGCTTTTGTGTCCTTCCCTCTTGGAGGTACAGTATCTTGACCAAAATCATTTTTCCACCCCACAGCTCAGCACTTGTACATGAGATAGTGGTGCAGAATTCTATGATTCCCATGTTTGAAAATATTATGTTGATGTGACAAAAGAGTGAATAGATGCCTTTGTCATTTTGGTCATTCCAAAAGATGCAGTTCATCAACTGTTCCAATTTGTCACCCATTCAGCAGTATGGTACGTCCTTTGCCAATGTAATCTGTTCATCCTGGTCAAAAAGATTCTGAAAGAGGTTGGAGAGTGTGCCTTTTCTTTTAGAGCTTCCAAGCTCCTGCTTTGTCTCTGCGCTTTTTGCCATGGTTTCTCTGAAAAGGTTGAGAGGGCTGCCTTTTGGAGGACATGCAGAGTGTTTGTTTCCTTATCTTTTGAATCTAGAGCACAGAGCCTTCGGTTATAGGCACTGTGCAAGAACGTGGCATGTAGCTAGTATGTCACAAATTAGAAAGGAGAAAATGGAACTTGTTTGCTTAAGTCAATAGCTTTGATTTTGATAGTTGACTCCCAGGAAGGAGGAGGAGTGTGTGTGCATGCAAGTGTGACAGTGCTAAATGTAACAAAGATTTCACTACTGTTGCACCTGCACATCATTGATTATGAGGAAACTCACTCTCTTATTATGATATGTTCATTTGTTTGTTTATTACATTTATGTCCCACCCATCTATTCATTTCAACTGTTGCCATCTTTTCTATTAGATAGTCCTGTTTGTGCAGCAGAAGTTGACTCTGGCTTAAGCCTTCAAATTTGATTCATAGCTTATAGAATATGCATACATTGTTTTAGAAAGTTGCATTTAGTGGAAGTTGAGGGAAAATATTGGAACATCTAGAGATATAACAAGTATTATTTTTGTTGTTTATTTAGATATTTCCAAAAATCAGAATGCTATTGCTTTTCCAATTTCTAGGAACTGTTGTGATGTTGAGGATCCTACTAGTCATTAGGTATCCCATAATGCAATAGTTAATTATCACAGCTAGTATAAATATGATTTAAGAATGGGTGATTTGTTTGAATTGGCCACCCTCCCAGCCCTGAATGTGTTTACTTTTGCATGTTTTCTCACACAGAATATTGCAGCTTTTTCTAGGTTTTCACACTGACATTGAGACCAGGGATATAGTCAGGTGAAAATAATATTGGAATTTAGAGAGAGAAACAATAAAATGTATCTGAACATTTAATCCTGCTCAACATGTGTCAATGTTCTTCCACAGAGATCAAATAAAAAGTGGTTGAATATATTATTCCTTATGCAAGCTCCAAAGACTTGCTGATAAGAGATAGCTAGAACAAATTCAAGGTGAATTCATGAAACTGAAAGCTTTTATGCCCTGAAAAGCAAAAACTGAGCTTTTAGATTAAGATTTTTAACGTAAAAAATCATAAAGCACTTAATGAGAGTATCACCTGGAATCTCAGTTTACTTCTTCAGCAGTGAAGATTCAAAAAGCTGCCTAGTGGGACACAATCTTTGCCCTACTGATTGTTCTTGTGACAGTTCTGCCAAATTTAGGCAGTTCAAATATTTCTGCCTTGAGTAATTCGTGGTCTTCATTTGCAGACTCAATGCTGAAGCGATATGCTGAATCCTCTGGAGAGTTGCCTTTGTCTCTAATTCTAGTCTGCTATGCTGATTATGTGTTAAGGAACACAAGGTCAAGAACAGTGCATTGCAGATTGAGTCTCTTCCTAGATATAAGTGTAGAAATGGAAGATGGAGTGCTAAATTGTACACTGTTATGTGGCTTGTATGTTTAGGAAAGCCCAGAAACTTTTCTGTTCATTATGAATGAGTGCCACCAAACAGTTTTAATTCCCAGATCAAACCATTCTGATTCTGCATCAAATACTTATATACCGTATTTTTCCATGTATAAGATGCCCCCCATGTATAAGATCCCCCCCACTTTCCTAACCCAAAATTAAGAAATCTAAGTGGGGCTTAGCAAGTGTAGGGGGAAAAGGATCAAAGTGCTGCAGGATCACTTTGATCCCTGCTTTCTCCCTTCGTGCTAAGCCCTGCAGGGTTTAGCAAAAGGAGGGGGAAAGGGATCAAAGCAATCCTGTAACTGCACAATCATTTTGATCCCTTTCCTCCTTATACCGCCATGGGATTGCTTTGATTCTTTCCCCCCTCCTTTTGTTAAGCCCCATGGGATTTAGCAAGCAGAGGGGAAAGCAGGGATCAAAGCCATGGAGGAACAATTTCGTCCCTGCTTTCCCCTCCACTTGTCTTTGTTCTCTCCTCAGCTTACTTCCGTGTATAAGATGACCCTCAATTTCTAGTCTAAAAAATTTAGACAAAAGTATAGTCTTATACATGGAAAAATACAGTACGTCTTCTGAGTAAGTTGTTGGGGAAATATTGTGTTCTAGTTTCTATGCAAATTTGGAACATCTGGGACTTTTTCCGCCTTCATTTGAAGTTTTACAATGAATAGCATTTCACTTACAGTAACT